GGGAGGGGGGCGGAGGCCCGTGGCGGGCTCGCGACGCGCGGGGGCTGCAGACCCCCAAGCGAGCGCGGATAACGGGGTGGGGAGGCCGGATAACGGGACCCGGAGGTGGATAACGGAGCTGGTCGGGCGGGTCTGGGGGAGAGAAAGGGACGAGATGGCGGGTAACGGGCTCCGGAGGGGGATGAGCCGCTCTGCCCAGGGTCCGGGATCGGCGAGCCACCTCCTTGCAAACCCAGAGCCCCTGGCGGGCTCCGCGCAGAAGCGGCGCGTGGGTCCCGCCTCCCGCCTCCCGCGGGTGGGGTTGGAGGGGTGGCTCCTTGTCCGGCCCGGGATTCCGGGACGGGAGGGGTGTGTGTGTGGCGGGGGGGCAGGACTGGCACCTGCGAGCGCGCGTGGGAAGGGAGCACTCAGGGCGAAAAGGAGCAATCATGAGGTTTTCGGAGGCTCCCTGTTCAACCTCCTCTACCAAGTTTTCCTGATTTTATTGTGGAAGCCCCACCTCTAGCCTGGAGTGTGCCCCTCCTCGGGATCCCTGCTGTCTGACGGGGTCAGCCTCGGATCACGAACCAGATGCGTGCTAGTAATTCGTGCAGAGCGCATGTGTGCCCATGCACGTGCGTGGCCCAGACTGGGCTGTGTGCATCGGCATGGGGTGTCAGGCTGCATAAGGGGCGATGCCCCCCAATGCAGTCCCTAAACTACACGGAGGGATTCTCACTTCCTCTTAATGGTAGCTTTTTACCTTGCTTGCTTGTTGGAAAGGGCCAGGGACTTCCCACATTATCAACGCTTCTGCTCTAGGACAGCAAATTCCAAATCATGGCCTCTAGAAATGTCTACCCAGCCAACCCCGGACAGACCTCGTATTTGGGTAAGGGTGAAAATGTTCCGTTCTTGTTCTTGTCTCTGGATCCTTTGGAATTGGGCTGGGGGGTGGACTTGCCCTTTGTTTAACATCAGATTGGAGAGGAGCCTTCCATAGGTGTGTGGGGTTAGTTAGCTGGATGCTCGTCAGGAAGTTTGGGTGGGGTTAGCGAGGGAGAAACTCCATAAAAGAAAGACAGGAAAATACAACTAACATCAAACTTGCCCTAAGGGAAAGGGGGTCTTAGGTCAATTAACTAATACTTAATGTCCTGCGAAGTCACTCAAGACCTTTCTTCCCCTCAGAATCTGGCAGATACCCCAGGGTTCCTAGGAGTTCCCAACAGCCCCTGGGAAGGGAAGAGAACAAGATCCTCCCAGTTAGAATAGCCACGTAACCAACCGCTCACTCCCTGAAGCTCTGGAGACAGAGTGGGCTGAGCCACCAGGCATAACTGCACACAACTGTCGGTCTGTCCGACCTCCTACGACCAATGCCAGGCCCAGGATCCGTCACAGGGGTCTGATCAGAGTTTGGGGGGTCTTGGGGCAACTGGGCGTCAGTAGGAATAGAATGGACTTTCTGGCCTACTCATGGCGTGACCACCTGGATCGCTTCTATTCGGCAATGCTCACCCCAACCCTTTTGGGCCCTGGGGTCATGTCACCTCTGAGGAAAGGACAGGGGTCCTGTGTCTCTCATCAGTTCTGCTGGGCAGAACGGCTCATTTGCGTGAGCTGGGAGGTGGAAGGTATACACTAGCTTCCTCTGCTGGGGAGTTTGCACACACCCTGTGCTCACCCGGCCAAGAGCTGCCAGGGATTCCCCATTTAGTCTGCTCAGACATGTACCCGAGGAGCAGTCTGTCCAATCCTCCAGTGGGCTCAGGGGCAGAGACCTGGCGGAGATGAGCAAGTGCGAGCAGGGTGAGGGGTATTCAGAGAGGAACAGGGAGGGTTGAGAGAGACCCACTCTCATAGCCTGGTCTCATCTCTTTCCACTCTGCCTCTATTGAACAGGGAAAACCCAGTCTCCTTTCGAAGGAACTGAAGCTACTGATCTTTGTCAACTTTTCAGCTTCTTGGGGCCACACACCCTCAGATACTGTGGCCATCAGTCCCTCAGCAGCCTGTCTTCCTGAGAGCTGAGCTCAGGCCCTGATAGTTCAGGGACCTACTTCAAGGCTTGGTGACTATTCTGGGTGGGACTGTGAGTTTCTTGGCCTGCTCCCCAAAGCCTCCCAGCTTGACACGGGCCCTTTCTAGAGCTTCTCACCCCCATTGTGGTGCTCACCCCATCTTAAAACGCTGGACAAGTCACTCTTAGGAAGTTGAGATGACTGGGGCTCAGATCCCAGCAAGATTGACCTACTCCCTGCCTTGGGGAATTACGATTCAGGGCTGGCCTCTCCATGGAGAACCTAGTGTTCAGCACCATAGAACCAGACAAGTCCTCGTGGGGCATCCCACTGCTCCTCAGGGTCTTGGGTCCCTCTGTCCTAAAGGGGTATGTGGAAGCTCAGAAACTCAATAAAGGGGCACCCACGCAATGCCCACACAAGATCGAGAGGCAAAGAGGTGCAATGGGGGCCGGGGTCTGAGTTCAAACCCGAGCAGTCATTGGGATTCAGTTTTCTTTACTTATAAAACCAGCTGGCCCAGCCGGCCCCGCAACCCACCCCACCCCTCACCGTACCTGCAGCACGTTGGGGTGCCGCAGCCGCTCCAACAGCACCATCTCCTTGAGCAGTTTGTGGGCAGCCAGCCGATAGCAGCCCCTCCGCGCCCCGAACTCACGCACGCAGCTGCCCAGATCGTGGCCACTGAAGTCCACCGCCTTGAGCGCCACCGCGGCGCCGCCGGGCAGTCGGACCCGGTACACGGTCTTGGTGTAGCCAGAGCCCACGTACTGCGCGCC